GAACACGGTCCATGTTTCATCCGGTTCCTCGCTGTGCACTCAATCACAAAGTCGGCCAAGGCTTGGCCCTTGATGGTTGGCCTCAGCTTGATCTCAATTTGGAACTGGCCGAGGAAGATCGCCCATTTCACCACCCTTGAGGAGCTCGTCGGACTCCGCATGAGTGCGCTGAGGGACTGCTGTGTTAGGACATGGACGGCATGGGTCCGAAAGTAGTGGCCCAATTTCTTCACCGTGTGGACGATGGCTAACACCGTCCTCAACGAGGGAGTACCTGAGCTCGACCTCCCGTAATGTGTTGCTGACATAGAAAATAACCCTTTGTACCCCATCGTCCTCACATAACTGATGGCCGATGTGCTCACCCTTAAGTACAGTAAGAGGGTTTCACCGTCTTTTGGTTTGGAAAACACAGGAGGGGATGTCAGGTATTACTTCAGTTCCTCGAAGGCTCGTTGGCACTTCGTCGTCCACTTGAAGTTGTTTGCTTTGCGCATGACTTGGAAGAAAGAGAGTGATCTTTCGGTTGATCTGGAGGGGAAACGATTCAGGGCCGCGAGACGTCCCGTCAACCTTTGCACCTCTTTCACATTGCGTCAGGGCTCCATGTTGATGATGGCCTGGATCTTTTCTGGATTCACTTCAACGCCCCTTCGACTGACCATATAGCCGAGGATTTGCCGCCGTGGACGTCGAAGGTGCCTTTCTTTGGGTTTAAACGAAGTTTGAACTTCTTCATGAGTTCAAATATTTCCCGGAGGTCGTCAGCATGAGTGGAAGATTGTTTGCTCTTGACGATCATATCATCGACGTACGCTTCCATCGTCCGGCCGAGGACGGTTCTAAAAATCTTGGCTACCATCCTAGTGTAGGTGGCGCCCGACTTTTTGAGCCCAAAAGCCATGACTTGGTAGCAAAAAATACCCTCCGGAGTCATGAAGGCTGTCTTCTCGACGTTCTCGTTCATGAAAATGTGGTGGTACCCCCTAAAAGCGTCGAGGAAGGACATCAACTCGCATCCCGCTGTCTCGTCCACGAGCTGATAAATGTTGGGGAGAGGGAACGGGTTCATAGAGCACGCCTTGTTCATATCGGTGTAGTCCTCGCACATCCTGAATGTCGACGACTTCTGGGCGAGGACGACGTTTGCCAACCAGGTGGGGTACTTCACCTCCTTAACGTGGTTGATGGAGAGGAGCATGCTGACCTCTTCCTTGATGAAGTCCCGTCTTTCAGCTGAAAGGTAGCGCCGCTTCTGTTTAACGGGCGTGGAGGCTGGATCGACTGACAGCCGATGGGTGACTACCTTTCGGCTGATGCCTGGCATGTCCTCCGGTCCCCACGCGAAGATGACGACCTATGACCGCCAGACGAGTATGATGGCATCGCGTTGGTCCTGTGGGAGTTGGCTCCCGATTTTCAGGTTTTGCTCTGGTCGAGAGGCATCTAAGGGGACTTCTTCGATGTCCTCGATCGGCTCAGCACGCGCCCTCTCCTCGTCCTTGGTGACAATCACATTTATTGTGGCAATCCTTTGCTCGGCCATGGTGGCCTTCTTCGTTATCTTGAGGTAGCACACCCTTGCTATTTCTGGTTCCCCCGGGCGTAGCCGACGCCGTTGCTGGTGGGCAACTTCAAGCATAGATGCTTCATAGAGATGATGACCTCCAGGTCCTCCAATGCTAGCCGCCCCCAGATCAAGTTGTGGGCGCATTGGAGGTTGACCACCATGAACTCCTTGTTGAGCTTGGTGCGATGAGAGCCATCATCGACCTCTATGGGAAGCACTATCGTGCTCTCAGCGTCGATAGAGTCCTCGATGAAGTCGGATCGCGGCGTCCGGATCGGTTTCAGCAGGTCCCGGCTCAGCTTCAGTTGCCTGAAGGTGTCCAGGTACATCACGTTGACGAAGCTCCCCGTATCAATGTAAGTGCGGTGGATGATGGAGTTCCCGATTTCACATCTGACGACGAGGGCGTCGTGGTGAGGTGCGGGGCCTGGAGGCAAATCATTTTCGGTGAAGGTGATTGCCTTCGTCCGCTGCTTCTTCGGCCGGGGGGAATGTGGGACCTCCCCGATGTAGAGAGATTGGGCCCATTTTTTCCTCTGGGCGGCGAAGCCCCTCGGTGTTGCCTCCTGTGATAATGTTGATGTGATATTTTTTCGGCTGAGGCTCCATGTCATCATCCTCGCTGAGATTACCTATCTCGCGCTTCTTAATTGAGGTGTCCCCCTTATTGTTGGGATTCACCCAAGTATGTTTTCTTGGGGCGTCTTTTACAAATTGAGAGAGTTGACCCTGCCGAATCAAGCGCTCGATGGCTTTCTTCAACGTGACGTAGTCGTCAGTGTTGTGGGAGGTATTTTTGTGATAGCGGCAGTAGGTACCGCCCTGATGGACGACATAGATCTCCTTGGCCGACTGGGGATCCCTGGGAATGAGATCTTGCTCCTCGGCGTAGTCGAGGATGGTGCTTGCCCTGGTCAGGGGCCGAAGGAGCGTTGTGAGGCTTCTTCGGATGATGCCCATCCTTCTTGTGGGAGTGGAGCTCATCGGCATCAGCATATAGGTTCCCCTTTTGGAGAGCTTTGACGTACGACCTCGAGGGGTCAGTGATGAGACTTCTGGTGCAGGGGCTGCTACGAGCACGCCCTGAAGTAGGACGAGGAGGGTGCGATAATCGGTGCCCTCGACTTCCTCAGTTTCCCTTGTCCATCGGTCAAGGAAACTTCGGAGTGGTTCGTCCCCTTGCCTGACGGTGAGGAGATGGGAGAAATGCTTTTTGCACGCTTCCTTCCGGCGAAATGAGTGAGGAAGCACTGCGCAAGATCTTGCCAGGAGTCCACGCTTCCTTCGGGGAGCGCATTGAACCATTCGTACGCTGGTCCCTCTAGGGTGGAGAGGAACCAACGACAGAGGTATTCGTCGGAGGCGTTCACCATCAACATGTTGTTCTGATAGCGGCTGAATTGCTCCTGCGGGTCACTGCAGCCGTCATATGATTTGATGGCGTTTCCTCGGTACTTCTTGGGTATGGGGGTTGAGAGTACCCTGATCGTGAAGGGGGTTCGTGTCCTGAACTGGATGATGGAGTCCCCTCTTCCTTCGGCGAGCTCCCTCTCCAAGGCGCTAACCTTGTACAGAAGGGCGTTAAAGCCGGGATCCCTAGACGAGTTGGCCGTGGGAGTAGCGGCCAGCTGTTTGGCCTCCATCTGAGCGAGCCCCCGCTCGAGCTGGGCGATGACCTCGTCCCGGGGGTCCTTGGCGGCCATGGTGCCGCCTTGTGTTTGCACGCGGGCTGCGTGAGCCGTGTTGATTTGGTGACGCGCATCACCCTCGTGAAACTTTCCTTTGCCTTTGTCCAGGCGGGTCCGATCCGCTGTCCGGGATATGGACCCCAAGCTTTCCCTTGGTGAGCCAGGCTGACGTTCACCAATCCGTCCTGCCATCCTCTCCGATGCTGGCCGACGGCGCGTGTCACCTAGCATAAAGGTCGAGGCTTTTCCACGCGTTGGGGTTGGTCCAGCTCGAAGCGGGGAAGCAGGGTGGGAGTGGGATGATGACGTGTCCTGGGCTTCAACCCCTTCGACGTTGCCCATCTTCATGACTAACGGCTGGGGCGGTGGAGGTGGTGGAGTAGTGTTCTCCCCAGTCCTTGACATGAGTGCACTAAGGATGGTGGGGTTCTGAGCCAAGCTGGCGATGATGGCCGAGAGTGCGGCTTGAAGTTGAGGGTCAACGGCGGGATAAGCCGGTTGCCCCAAGGCGTTATCGCCCTTCTTCGTGCATTTCTTCTCAAGGCCGATGCGGGCGTCTGGAGCGTTGCCGTTGAGCTGGTTGCGAAGATCATCTGTGGGCTCGATGGTCTCCTCGAAGACTTCCTTGTCGGCCGTAGCATCGCTAGAGCGCTCACGACCCTTCTGAGTTTCGGGGATCGTCTTGCCGATGAGGTTGCGGTTTGACCTTGCTCTTCCCATAGTCAGTTAGCTGTGCTTGGTAGCGACGAAGGATGCTAACTTGATTGTTCTAGCTCTCAACGAGAGCACCAAATGATAGAGGATAACCTCTTAGAGAGAAGTGAGAACTAGAGAGAGAAGTGCAATAAGTATGCAATAAATATATTGTCAACCCCTTGCAACTATCCCCAATAGGAGTATTTATAGGGAAAATATGGACTGGACTCCCAAGCCTTGGGTTTGGGAGGCTCATTACAAGATAAGGCCTCTACTGGGCTCAATACATTTGGAATATCAACTAAGTATGGGAGTTCAGTTCTGCGAGCTCTCTGTGGCGGATGAAGCCCCGGCCGAAGGAGTCGTGGCCGACGGAGCCACCCGGTTCTCCTTGCCTTTGGATCATATTCTGGGTCGACGTGTATTCCGGCCGACGTGGCCACTTGGCCGATGGGAGACCCACCTGGTGACAACTGTGCCTCATTGTTTTGAGTATGTGGGTCCTGGGCCCATATACTGTATCAGTAACATTATTTGGGTACATGTAGAGCAAAATGTAAAAATTGAAGTGTTAAGCCAAAGGACATGATTTAGATGGGTATTTTGATTTTTTGTTGGGTTAAGGCGTCCTTTCTTGAGATGGCCATAGACTGATGATGCATTTTGTTCATATGATATACATAAACATTCTTGGATGATTCTATATATATATTTACGTTTCATCCAAAAAAGGATAAATAACGGAAAATGCTCATGCACTGTTATGAAAAGGCTGACCTGCAACATACTTCATATGTCCCACTATAATTGTCTCTTTTTTCCTTTTCCGTCCGTCCCACCAAATTTGTCCCATATCATATTTGGTAATATATGCTTGCCTATAATTCATTCTTACTTTATCCTCGCTTTATAAATTCTTAGAGGGACGGAGGTAGTATGTGATAGTGCAAAGAGTGATGTGCAAACTGTAAATGAGTTATTTTATTATTATTGTTTACTTCAGCATGATTGCTAAGAATGTTACTTTCCTATGAACAATGGTTCAGGATTAGGAGGAAGACGATTCCAGAACCCATATACAGCTCTTGACATTCATTTGTCTGTAGCTGTGCTGGTTTAGAAGCTGCTGCTTATGTATATATATATGCAAACATGAAACATGTCAAACCTGAATACTTGCAGCGACAGAATTACACTTTGTAGTGTTAAATCTCGCATGGAGATCATTCATATTCTTACCGCACAACATTAAATAAACTTTTTAGAGGAACATGTCATTATGTGAAAATGTGAAATCATGTATACATAATGATCTTTTTCATATGGGACAAAGACTTCTCAAGAGCTTAGAGTTTTCATATGGGTCAACTTTTTCACTCTCTAAAAAAATTTACTTACAAAAACAAGTGAAACCACACTCGGTTGTTTTTTTGTAGTCAACTTTAGTTTCTTTTCATACATATTTTATTAATTAATTCATAATTAAATGAGCTAAACTCAAATAAGAACAATAATGACATCATTTTCAAGGTGGTTTGGCATCAATGTTACTATATAGAAGTATAGAACTAATAGAAGTCTTGGACAAAATTGGATTAGTTTTAAAATTGCTAAAACACATTTCCACAAATAATATTTGGATGACATTTTAAACATTTATAATTAATTCTAATACACTCTTTTTAAATTATTAAATAAAAACACTTCTCTTAACTATTCAGTATTTAGAGAGTGGGAAAACACATTTTATCATTTATCCGGACACCTAGTAACTAAGAAGCAGGAGAGATACACGGCTATGGGTGGATTCAGGCCGGACTGGGTCCGGGTTGGGCCTAGGCCCGGGCGGGCCGCTAGTTCAGAATATTTGGGCCCGGGATCGGCCCGGGTAGCCACTGGGTCCGGGCCGCGCCTCGGGCCACTTCATATTTTTTTTCTTCTAATTAATCCCCTAATACCCCCCACCCCCACCCCTCAACACCCCAAATGGCCCAAAACACCCAGCCCAACCCTGAAAAAAAGGGAAAAAAGGGCTCGGAACCGGGCCGGTTCATCATTTGGCGGACCCGAGCCCGCACCGTAAAACCACCGGGCTGGGCCTACCCGGACCGGTCCCTGGCCAGGCCACCGGGCCGGGCCGGAACAGTACCGGTCATGGGCCGGTTCTGGGTCGGGCCACCCGGCCTGAGTCCACCTCTATACACGGCATTAGTTCATGTTTAGCCTTTATATTTAGACATGGAAATCACAAGTTCACAACCTTGGCTAAAAGCCTAAAACACGAGTCACACTGGATAATTTTACATCAATAAGACTAGAATTATTTAATACATCCGAATGAGATATCGTAATATGCCTCTAACCTAATTAGGCAAGTCTAGGCCTTGCCATCTTCTGCCGTTCCCTGAGCCTCAAATTTCTCATCTTTGAGAGGACCATAAGCCTTGCTGAAAGCTAGAAAAAATAGGAAATTGGTGATGCTTAATCCAGCAAGCACCCAATGTAAATAATCGTAGTGACCTTTGTTTATGTTACTCGAAATCCAGCTCTCCTTCCCTCCTCTGTTAGTCAAGTTATTGATGGTGGTCATAAGAAAGCTTGACAAAAGGCTGGCAATGGCCATGCTTAGCATGTAAAGACTAGAAGCTATGCTCGACATGCTCTTTGGCAACTCCGAAATATAAAATTCATTTTGCGAGATTGCATTCAATCCCTCTGCGAATCCCATAAGGGCATATTGGGGTAGCACCCATAGTATGGACATGTGGAGGACCCCATCAGGATTATTTTCATATCCCTCATTGATCGCCACTGCTCGCCTGATACCCTCCATCGTTGCCATTGCAGCCATTGACAAGAACGAAATGAAGACCCCGCACCCCATTCTTGACTTCGTGCTAAAATGCACGGTTTTACCCCTGATTCTGGATGCCAAGGGCAGTAAGATGCGGTCGTATAGTATGATCCAAGCAACAATGAACACTAAAGCGAATGAGGATACTGAACCTGCTGGTAGTTGAAATTTTGAACCGATATGGCGGTCCAGAGAGGTTGCTTGAAGGACTGCAAAAGAACCCTGACAAGTATTTAGGGACATTACAATCCTTGTGATCCATATTGGCATTATCTTTATCAAGGATTTTAGCTCCTCCACCTGATCAACGGTGCAAAGCTTCCAAGGATTCACAGCTGTTCCTTCTCCATTCAAGTCTCGTTCAGGATCTTGTATAATGCAGGCCTTGTTCAGAAACCTACAAATAGAAAAAGGAAAGAAACTTAAATCAAAGCAAGATGTAGGGTCAATTGCTATTTTACGCTCAGCTTGTTTACAAAGAAATGCTACATGAAAACCGCCTCGAAAAAGATTTTGTTTTTTTAAATCTCATACATTTGATTAGTAATCAGTTTTATTAATCCCTCTAACTTTCATGTGTTTGGCACCAAAAACACCACCATCAAAATATTTTCCTTGATTGATAGAGTTTTTTGGGTTAAAACATTACATTGTAAAGAAACAACGGAAAATAAGAGCGAAACAAGGATCAAATCATATGAACAAATAGAAATATCTTTGTTTAGTTCAGAAGTTGGGACTTATTTAGTCCTAATAATGAATAAAAGCCATTAATAACTCTCCTTTAATGAGTCCCTGAGTCCTAGGGAAAAACAAATGTTTCTTTTTTTTAAAGATTGTGTATGTTTTGCATCTATTGATGATTTTTTTTAGATGATATAGAAAACAACTTATTTTACCCGTACGAACTTCTCTGGAAAATGTTATCTCAAACAAGCTATTTTGTGAAAACAATCTGATCTTTAGTTTATACCCCAAAGTTATTCACATGATGTACTGATGTAGTTCTAGCCCCTCAATTGTTATTGGAAAGGACTAATAACTCAAGATCTTATATAGTGAATGATTAAATTATATCAATCCAGTATGCGACAAATATTACAACACGCCTCCCCAACCCTAACTGAATTGGATAATATTGTGTGTATAAATGAATCAAACGGACTTTTAACAAACTATTCTTAACAATTAAACTACAACCGGACTAGCTATGATATTAAGACTCTTAGATTACATCCTAGATCAACCTGATCGAAGGGGTAGCTCGAGATCTTAATGATTTATTATATTATATATGAAACAAATACTTACACAACTAAACCACCATGTGATAGAACCAGGGATGGGTTTTTCCAGATCTAACAACTAGGAATTAAAATTGCTCGTACTGCTTACTGAGATATTAGGGGGAAAGAAAGGTGTAAAAAGCTTTTTTACCTCAAGAGGCTTCAGTTTTTCAAGAACTAACCTTAGCTTGCCACTTGGATGACTAAGAGTTGAACCTTTTGAATGATATTCAAGTTCTGTATCTCCCGAAAAAAGTTTGATATTTCTATTCCTATAAGAGGCAACCATCACCTTAAACAAACCGTTGACCAGGTTCTTGGTTGGGTTCAGTCTCAAATACCAAACCGAACCGGAGAAGAATGTGAGCACTGCAAAGAGCACGAGTGCAACAAGAACACCATAGCCTATTCTCCACCCATAGTTTTCTTGGAGGTAAACCAAACCGACCGAACCAACTATTGCAGAAAATGAACTGGTGGCATAAGACCAGCTGAAATAGCTCTCTATTTTACTTGCATTGTTCTGAAAATGCTTCAACTGATCAGCACCAAATGCTAAAGAGGATGATGTCACCCCACCGTATCCGACCGCGATCATGATAAGAGCAGTGCATAGCAGAATGAGCTGTGGTGTGGTGGCAGGGGTACAACTGTCACTGGATTCACTACAGGGATGAGGCTTGGCTTGCATGATCACTGTTGGTAGCCAAATAAGAAGTGTTCCCTTCACAAAAATCAAGTTTATGTTCATTCTAAAGTATGCTGAATATGAAAAATCACATCAAATATATATTTTATTAGTATATACTAGAAAAAAATGAGAAAGACTATAGCAGTCATTTTGCATCAACTTCAACCAAGATAGCAAATGTAGTTATATTTATCTCATTATTAACCTCTGGAGTCAAGAAATTATAGTCTGTTAAAAGAAATCGAACCAAATGGTCACTATGTAAAATTTCATTCCATTGGTAACAATGGATTTTGTTTACTGTTTTGACTAGTACATATGAGTAACATTATGAAGCAAGGTGTTTAGTTAATTATTTGTTCAGGGTTAGTTGATAAATGTAAAAAGAAGAATAAGTATATGAATACACACGTCATCATTTTCATTTACCCCAGTGCCGCAAAGGCTCCCACCTACGGTGGGGTAAGGGGGGGTCGGATGTACGCAGTCTTACCCCTGTACTAAAGCTCAGAGAGACTGTTTCCGGATGACCCATAGATATGAATACACAAGTATATATGTTTAAATGATTTTCTATTTTTGATCATTAAAAATTTAAACTGTTTTTCAAATTTACATACTACATATAACGTATATTATTATGACTCTTATTATCACCACTATGAATTTATATATATGGCTTAAATACGTTATAGTCCATACAAACATGACACACTTTGATTTAGGTCCTCGATAAATATTTTTTGTTTTGTTATTCATCTTTGTAATACGTGTTAGGACAAATTTAGCGACATTTTTTAAAAATCAGCAAATAGTCTTTATTTATACATAACATACTTTTTAGTTATATTTATGTTATTTCTATTTTCGTCTTATTTTTCAATTTTTCTATTTAATAAATAACCTTTTTTCTTGGGCGGAATTGTATAACTAGCCAAATAAGTAAAATTGAAATTGACTTATTTGGATGGTTTTACAATATGAAAAACAATTAAAATGATGGGGTAATTTGAGTTTGCACCTCATATTATTGTTCAAATTGGATTTTGCATCCCGTCTTTAAAAATCTTTGTTTTTGCACACCCAACCCCATATGAAAAGACAAAAATGCCCTCAATTAGGAATATGTTGAAGGCCAACAAAATTGTTAATGGATGGGCATTTTTGTTTTTTCACATGGGGTTGGGTGCAAAAACAAAGGTTTTTAAAGACGGGGTGCAAAATCAAATTTGGACAATAAAATGGGGTGCAAACTCAAATTACCTCTAAAATGATCCATATTGGTTGCACAAGCCGATTCTGCTGAAATTTGCTTATTTGGGTATTGTTAATGGGCTCTATGTATTCAATTTGTTGAACACATAGAACATATTTGACAATTCCAAATTGGCTGCACAGGGCCATTCTACTGAAATTTATGAAATTTTTGCTAAAGTGACTGTATTTGCTGATTATGTTGATTTATGAAAAAATTATATTTGAAATATATTTTATTAATAAAATAAATAAAAAATTATATGAAAAACAACTAAAATGATTCTTTACAATAACTTCAGCCAATATAACCAAAAAGTACCTTCAATCTTACTTTTTCTTATTATTACACAATTCGGCGTGCGAAATAAAAAGTTGTTTGGTGAAAAAAGTTGGCCGATAAGACGAAAAATAGAGTCACCAAATGATCGGTCATAGTTTAAGTTTTTTGACTATTCTTCATGTAACTTTTTTTATCTTATCAATAAAGTATTAGTTTTCAATTAACCTTTACGTATTTTAAAGATTGATAAGCACAATTTTGACACATTATTTAAGAGGAGGAAAGCCATACGAATAATGAATAATGTAGAAACACTATGTAAAGTATGAAAAAGAAAATAAAAAATAGAAAAAAATAAAGTCAAATAAATAGTTTTAAAGCAAACTTGCCCTAAAACGGAAAACACACCAGTTAGAGGATGGGTGAAGTGAAATGAAAGCGTTGCTGACCAAAGAGAAAAAGAAAGACCCAAATCCAATCATTTGAAACCGGCCCACCAAAGAATCGGCCATGAAAGCTCCGATTATGGGCGCAGTGTTAGAGAGGGCAGAGAAAATGTAGATGTAATTAGAGGCAGAAGCCATTTCCATATGAAACTCTCTCATCAAATACACTATCATGTTTGCTCCTATTGCTGTTGTCACCATACCCATCAACCCAGAACTCCCTGTTCATCATTATATTCATCCATCCATTACCATTTCTTCTGCAATAAATAGAACAAGGAAGAAGAAGAAGAAATAGACAAGGCCGGGGCTGGCTGTTTACCGATGATGAAAGGCATGGTTTTGAAGCCACCCTTAGGAGAGACATGAGTTTTTGGTAATAATAGCTGCTTTTGCTCCTCACCCATCTTTTCCATGAGTTAATTTCCAAAGTATAATGTGAGTATTTCACACTCACAATTCTTTTGAGGACTGTTGAATTAATTCACTACGTAGTGCACATTGGTTATAACTTATAGTGACCGGTGGACGTAGCTCAACGGGTAGCAAGGGAGTGCCACAATGATTAAGTTCGGGGTTCGAATCCCGATAATTACGATGAGGGATTACTATGCTAAAAATGCATAGGGCCTCTGCAAGTACCGGGTATAGAGTCTCACTCTCTATTTGTCAAATTGAGATTATAGTCCAATTTACATCCTCCTAACGTACCGTCCGGTCGGGGGTGAGTGTGAAATCATTGTGTCATCCTCTTTTTTTGTTACTCCGTATAACTTATAGGTGGTGGGGTGGGAGCACTGCCAACTCTTATCAGTCTGACAGAGGCAGGACAGATAGAGTTTATTTAAATACTCTTATCATTGAATTTTATTTGAATTACAGCATAGACAAAGCAAAAAAGTAAAATAAGAGATAGAAAGATTAAAAGGAAATTGGTTAAATAAAGTTTTCTACTATTACGGAATCGTCATTAAGATCATGTATCCAATAAAGTGTTATATAAATATGTCTACTTATAAAATACAATCGAATGAGTCAAAACGACCCATTGACAATGGTTTTCGTGTAACCTAACCCTGACTTTTATGTAAAAAACACACGTCCACATACATTAGTTGTATGTATACAGACAAAAGTGTTTGTACGCGCATATTTTTTGATATACTCCCTCCGTCCCCCAATTAAATTCCTGGTTTGACTTCACACTTATTAAGAAAATAAATTTGACTTTATTGTGGAGTGCACTGTTTTGCAGTGTTCAAACACTGTTTGACACTGTCTGACACTGTTTGACACTGTTTTAATGTAGATAATTTGCCAAATAAGGAAAGTAAGTAAGTGTGAACTTAATTTAGGGACTACCCAAAAAGGAAAGTGGTAACTTAATTGGGGGACAAAGGGTGTATGTGTTTACATAAATTTATAAAATTTTCAATTTTAATTTCTTCACATAGATAAATTTTATTAAAATTTAGGATGATATAAACAATATTTTACTAAGGCACTTATAATAATTCCAACAATATTTCAGTGATGATGCCGCGGGAAAATGCAAAGGAACCTTTGTCAAATATTATAAACAACAAAAAAATAAATTATAGAATTGGAAGAGGATCACATCAAAACCTCTCAATAAAAAAGAAGATATAAATTATTGAGGGTATAATGGGGATGTAGTGGAATAATGTGATGGAATGAAGAATAAAAAATAGTTGTAATACTGTATTATTTTCAAAATTATTGAGGGTATGATCAGGGACGGATCCAGGATTTCGAGTCAAGGGGGACGAAAATTTTCGTTAGTGTAGGAGATAAAAAATTCATTAGTGTAGCGGGGTGAATTTTTTTTCTAGTGTAGCGGGGCGAATTTTTTCACTAATGTAAGGCTCTGCGGCTATTTTTATTCAAAAAAAATTCATTAATACATACGTGATGACATTTAAATCTATATATTACATTCTAAGTTTAGACAATGACAAAATAACTTTAATTTTATAATTGGAATGTTCTAGAAAAAAGTATTGATACATTAAAGCATAAGAAATGACAAATCAATGGAAAATAATACAAAAATAAAAAAGGATATATAACATTTTATTTAAATATAAAGAGTTTATAAGGTTCACATTCACGAGTACTTTTAAAATAATTTCAACATTGTTTAACTACATGAGTCTTATAGAAATAAAGAATTGATTTTTGAATTACAATTTTTGTCTATCATTGAGGGTGTTCATAAGTCACAAGCAGTTCTTTTAATATTACAATAGTATGTATGATATTATTATTTTTAGAATAATATTATATTGATAATTCATATATATATAGTGCATATTATATTTGTATTAATGTTAAAATAATTAAAGTTTATTATCTATGCAATAAAGTCTTTTTAGAATGTAAGAAGTAAATGAATAGTGTAATTCAATGTCAATAAACATTTATAATTTGGATTACTTCACATGATCTAAAAACTTTGTAGCTAGAGTATCTCGTATTTAATATCGTTTGATATATATTTTTCAAAATTGTTTACTAGTTATCGAATAAAGATAATTAAACATTACAAAACTAAGAATTTTTATATAATAAGTATCCTAAATCTCAAATAATGAGTTCTTCTATTGTTTATTTAAGTTATGTAAATTATTTTAGATGTTCCTTTTTTAAATCTCCGATTAAGTATTACATTATGTAAGACTATATATCAATTTTAAAAACTAAAAGTTAAGGGGGTCAATGTTTAACAAAAAAATTAAGGGGGGCGAATCTAATTAAAGTATCAAAATTTTACAAAAACATTACATATATAGTAGAAAATTTTGAAAGTCCAAGGGGGGCGCTCGCACCCCCCCCCCCCCCCCCCCCCCTAAATCCATCCCTGGGTATGATGAGAAGATTTAGAAATGGGAATCTTTTCGTTACAAAAGAAAAAGGAAAGTGTGAAGATATTTCCGTTACGGAGGTAGTATGAAAAAACTACCTTTTATTTTAATTTTGTATACAATTATATGTTTATTATTATTATATGATTGACCGATTTTATGGCGTTGACCGGATTGACTTGACTGGGTTTGGGTTGACACGTGACTCGATCACGTGGCCGGGTGACTTCTTGGTCTGATTTCTTAAACATAACCCCAACAAGTATTAATCCTGGATCCGCAGCCGTTTCAAACAGTTTTACAGAATGTCAAAGTATAAAAGTGATCACACAATGGGTTAATTGCCTAATAGATTGAACAAGTCTACCATATATATTGCACTCAAATAATCTACTTTAAGGTAACTGATGCTCAAGCTATTACCGACACCACCATACTATATTAGATGGCCTGCTCAGCTGCTCCTACCTAATCTTACCCTTAGATTATTCATATGGGATCTCATTCACAACATACACCTTATTTTTTGGGACAATTTCCTAAATAGAAGTAAATAAGAGGAAATTTTAACAATAGGAAAATAAAGTTTAAATTTTCAAAATACGGCTACTCTTCCTATCTTACCTTTTCACTTGTCATGCTTAACATGACTTTTTAAATAATAATAATAAACATAAAAAATTAAAATACAAAAAATAAAAAATAAATAAAAAATACACAAGTCTCAACCACCACCTCAGTCACCTTCCAACACCGCCTCCTCTGGTCATCAGAAAAATGTCAACTTGTAAAAATATGTCATCATGATGACAATTTTGAAAGTAAAGTTGGATATTTTTAAAGAGTAAAATGTCATATTCATGACATTTTCAGAAGAATGTGGTGTTTTTTACACCATATGACATTTTTTCGACAATCGGAGCTAGTGATGCTGGGAGGTTGAGGATGTGGCAACGCGTCCCTACATATTTTAAAATTATTTTTAGGTATTTTATTATAGTTTTATTCTTTTTTAATTATTATTTAAATTTTTTGTTTATTTTTATTTTATTTTATTTCCCCCGTTTATTATTACTTTATGAATATTTTTATTATTTTCATGTTTTTGTTATAAATAAAACAATGACTTTTTTACTAATAAAATAAATCTTTTAGGAATTATAGGAAGGAGTAGAATAGAAAGAGGGGAAATATATTACTCCTATTTTTGGAATAAAAAAATTGTAGTCTTAATGTTGCATTTAGGATTAAAGTTACTCCTATTTAGGATTAATAGCCGTATTTTGTTCAATTTTGGAGCATTTTTATCTCAATTTGAATTCATATTGAAATTCATTTATAGCACAATATTTTGTTCCATTTTAGGGCACAAACTAGGGATTATTTTACAATTAAGTATATTTGGGATTATTTTAGAATTAAGTATATTTGGAATTAATATTTGCAATAGTTGGTGTTACTATTTTAATTTGTCGTATACAATTGTACAAAAAAATGGAATTAAAATTGAAACTTGCCCGGGTAGCTGAGTTGGTTGAGTGATCGACAAATTGGAACATTGACCAAGGATCAAAATACGCAACGACCGTGTGGAGGTTATAACTCATATGCGCTGAAGTGAACTTCTGGTACGTATAAGTTCAAGATCTACCATCATTGGACTAACTAAATCACCATTAATTTACTTCCTTTAAAATGATATGTCATGTATGTCAAGGCATGGGGGTCTAGGATTTGGGGATTGAACCTTAACATGGAATTAAAACTGAAAATGTTATACTAGGTACTCCGTACATTAATGCATAGTACTCGTACATCAGTACAGGTCAAAAGAACAAACACCAAAAACAAAAGAAATATGGGAGGGTAAGTCATTTCGGTACAACACCACATTCAAATAACAAAATTGCTCTTTGTACACACAATTGTACACTCAATGTACACACTACTTAAACCCCAAAAAATTTACCCCTCTCTTTTCCCCTCACTCCCCCACCCGACCCACGCTTCTCACTCTCTCCCCACTCGGCCACTCCTTTCTCTTCTTCCCTTCAACGAAATCAACAAACAAGCTTCCACCTTCATCAACCTTCACAAAACTTCCTCTTCGATGGATTATCCGTACGACGACACGTTGGTGACTAACTTCGACGATTTATGGGCTTCATGGGATGAGAATCCCGGAGGCAGTGAAGTTGGGATGTCTTCCGGAGCTGGAGAAATTCAAGGACAGACGGCCGGAGCTGGAGAAGGTGACGGGATGATGGATGGAGGCGGAGAGGGGTCTGGAGATAACACCGGAGTTGGAGATGTTGTTGGACGCACTCTTGGAGCCGGAGAAGATGACGATCACACGAACCTAGCCGGGGTAGATGAAGGGCTGACGTCGCCGGCGGCCATGGACGTCGTTTCTGACCTTGGTATAGTGACGTAATCTTCTTGAACGTTGAAATACGTTTACTCTCACAGGCATGTTGTTAGAGGTGGAAGTTGTTTATGTGTTAATTTATTTGTTTATGTGAGTTTTAGTGGGTTTATGCTTGTTTATGTGGGTTGTTAGTGTTTGCAGAATGTCATAAACATGTTTGTTTGTGTAGTATTCAACGTGTCTGTGACACATAAGCATGCATACGTTTGGTGACACATGCAAGTCGTATGAGCTGTCACTTGTTTATGTGTGTGTTTGTTTGTGTATGAAGACAGTGGAAGATTTATTTGTTTGTGTAGTATTTCAACTAGTCTGTGAAAGATTTGAGTTGTCTGTGTGCATATATCACTGTCTGTGTGATATTGTAAGTTGGTTAAAATACATTAATAAATGAATCATGTAACATAACAGATGGAGAAGAGCTGCCAAAACAGAATGAAGTTGGTCAAGATCCGGAAGTTGGTATGGAGTTTGAAAGTAGAGAAGCAGTCTATGATTTTTACAAAGCATACAGGAAGCGTTTGGGATTTCCTATAAGAACTAGGAGCACAACTAAAGACAAAAGAGGAGAACACATTATGTCAATTCTACTAGAATGTTCGCGGGCTGGTCGAAGATGTAGTCAGTCAAAAAATCAATTGATGCCCCAACCTTCAATGCAAATAGGGTGTGAAGCTAGACTACGAGCGCACGTAAATTATGCGGGAATTTGTAAAATTTCAAAAGTCTTTTTACAACATTCACATCCTATGAGTCCAACAAAGGCTCGCCTATTCCGATGCAATCGGAAGTTAACTCATGGAATGGCGAGGAAACTTGCAATAAATGATGTTGCGGGAATACGACTTAATAAAAGCTTCACCGCGGCCGTTGTTGAGGCCGGTGGGTATGATCAACTTCCCTTCATTGAAAAAGATTGTAGGAACTATATAGATAAAGTTGAAAAAGAGCGTATGGATATTAATGGGTTTAAGAAGAATGTGAACTTCTATATTGAGTTTGACCCAATTACTTGTTTTGGAATATATAGTTGTCATTTGTTTGAGTTTAGGGGAATGATATGTAAACACTTAATTGTGGTCCTAATTCGGCTTGATATACAACTCTTGTTCGAGGTGTACCTAATGAAAAGATGGAGGAAAGACATGAAAAGAGCGTACCAACGAGTGAAAATCAATTATGACGGGTGGATTACAACGGTTGAACAACACCGCTTTGACAAGTTATGCAAGACCTTTGAGAGTTTTGCCAACATGATAGCAGATGATGAGGCCAAATACAACGAAGTCCTCCTTTGGTTGGACACCCAATTGTCCACATATACTCCTCCGGTTAACCATTCTTCTATTGGTGGCAACATGACACCACTTGAAGACCCAACCACAAGTATAGGTGGCGAGGTCGAAGTTCTACCTATTGGAGATCCTAAATGTACGAAGCGCAAGGGAGCTCCAAGGAAAAACCGAGCAAAGGGTCCACTACAAAAGGGGAAGAAGAAAGGAAAGGCAAAGAAGGATAATGCACGAGCCGCTGCCACAACGATCCAAAGTAACGGTGTAGCTAATGTGCCAATTGTGTACTCTACTGGTTTAGATTTAAATCTATCTTTGATGTGAATTAATTGGTGTTAAATGTATATTTGGTGTTAAACGGTGCAGCTACTGGTGGCACAATTGTATAGTTTTTTGTCTGGTTTTTGTCACTGACAATATTTTGTGAAATATAATTTAGTCACAGACATACGTATTACCTCGCCTAGACAATATTATATACTCACAGACACAAGGGTTTACAAACAAAAAAAAACAATATGATGCATTCCATACCAAATTGTTACTTCGTTACACAAAAATCAGCAGAGTAATGTTTTCTACAACCTTCATATGTACCCTCCTGTGGAAGTACCTTGTAGGACATCGTACAAGGTTGATCATAGCACAACAATGTACATTATCATACATTCCATTCAAAAAACGGTTACCAAAACCTAAACCGTTAGCAAAAAAAAGATATTTACAGCTACATAATGTTTGATACATTAGCTGATTAGCAAAAAAATGTACATTGCATGTTTTCTAAGAAACTGGCTTCCTCAAACTCCAAAGGCGTAGCGCAAAGTGCCATCTCTTTGTAGCCACGTTCGCATACTCGCAATGTGGCGTCAAGGGAAGTCCCAACAACAAAGCCTCAGCATAACAAACAACCATCAGTCCGCAAACAGTTCTGCCACACAGACATAACAACGAATTAATATGTATTCACAGACAAATTAGTACACTACACATAAACAAATTTGTAGGTGAACAGATTAACATTACCCTCCCTCTTGTTGTGGAACATCTGCAGCTAGCTGAGAATTCCAATGCTCTACCTTAGAAAGATCTGGGTGGGCTTGTATGAATCAGAAGAGTAGCGGAAGTCTCACACACAAATGCGCCGCATGCAACATTGACCTACTTGTTCTCATGGAGTCATATACACGTACCAATTTTGCATGTAGGTCAACTTCCGCTAAAACCCAATGCATCCCATCAACATTCAAAGGTACAAAAACCTGAACACAATAAATAAATAAAAAACTTATGCGCTATGTTTGTATACGTACAAAAAATAGTTAACACACAAACAATTGAATAACGAAGGTAATCACTTACTTTTTGTAAACCTCTCCAGTCAACACTAGGTAGACACCTATCAGCAGTCCATGCATTCTCATCCTTATAATCCTTAGTCATGGCTTGATGCTACACAAACAAAAAGTTATTATGGCAATGTTATCTTAAATAATTATGTAAGTTCTGTACAGATAAACAACACATACCGCAAAGTAAGGGCTTATTAGCTTATACGGCTTGTCCGACGCACAATCTTTCAGAAGCAGGTAGGAAAGAGCATCCATATGCTAACAAAAAACAATGTCAGACATATATTTATACATGACAATATATGAAAATGAGAAGGCACTCACATATGACCATAAAGACTCATCTGGTTCCACGAGCTCACAGAAAAAGTCCCTGTCCACTTCATCAAATGATGGCAGATTAAGAACAAACATTTTAGGTTCAACAGTGTCAGCTTCTTGTATCCAAGCTTTTAGAGATGCAATATGATTATCAGTTGGGTGAAATATAGCAGGTTGAATGGAGACAATGGGCTCAACATATGGTGAGCACTGGTATTTGGAACGACATCGTTTTCTTTTTTTCACTTCTTTCCTGCTCACAACTTGTATGGCCTCAACATCTATTGGCGCACTCCCAACATCATCTCCATCCCAATCCAAATTTTCAAATGGACCGGGGGCTGTTAACGGAGGTAAGTTGTCCTATTCACAACAAATATAATACATTGTTATGTCTTTGTACACACAAACAAACACTATTAATGGACACCAACATTGAGACTCATACACAAACAATCACAAACAGAACAACACAACTTTACCTCATTTAAAGACATCATAAGATCTGGGAAGTTGCTTGCTACCTTATTCTGCTCAGTTTCCCAATTCACCTATTGAATAATTCACAACTTCATTTATAATTCTACAAAAATAACAATAAAGATAGATAAAAACCCATACCTCAGTCATTACAGCGGAGATGATTACATCTGCCCATGTGGCATCTTCACCCATCTTCACTATCAGCAACATGGTCAGCATCTCCTTTCACAACCTCAACCTGCATCGACACTTCTTCAGTGGCTACATTTGGTTCCTCTTCTTGTACGTTCTTCTCACCGTCACCCGCAGCCGCATCATCAGCAACACCATCATCATTAACAACACTTGTCTTCAAAACATCTTCACCGGCAGGTACTCGTTCATCCCCAATTGCATCCTTATCGACCTACAATGCGTATAGTTTAATGTGTTAGTCGCGTAGATAATGCAAATGGCCATACAAGTAAGTTTGATCATACCTCTTCCTCAACCGATGGGTTCGGTTTGCCAACCAACTTCAGAAGTAGTACCTTTATTTCTGAAAGACTTTTTACAACATAAGTGATTTTGTTTTCAACCCTTTGAACATACTTCCGTAGGTCCTGCAGCTCCTCCAATATTTTAACCTTTTCGAACAAGCGCAGGTCTTCCTCAGTCATTTCTTCTTCTTGGTTCTCTTCTTCCTCTCCCCCCTCTGAATCAGAAAGCTTTTCCTCCTCTTTAAAAATCATTGAAGATTTATTGTCAAATGATAAAAATACATAACATTAACAAAATCAATGATAGATTACCTCTGGAAATATTACTCGTCTAAGCTTAGAGTAATGAAATTTTCGTTCGGCCTTCCAATTGAGTAATGGCACATCATGATTACCCACTTTGTTTGCAAAGTTCTTTCCAACTTCATTAATTTCTTCGTAAGCCCACACCTATAATAACCAAAGAATACATTTCTAGTTCGCACAATAAGAAATAAGTAATAGATATTGTTCTCTTATATATGAACAAATAAATAAGCACAATAGGGAAGTTGTCATATATACCTGCAAAACTAGTGGAAAACCGTAGACAGATAGCTTGGCATTTCTATAGTTTGGATTGTTCTCCTTCCGGTCCTTGAACTTCTGAGGCTGACCATCCATCAGACCCTTCATATGACTCACCAATAACTTGTACGAACGAAGTGACCACGGACACTTCTTGAATTCCTCTAAATCATTCACCAGTCTGATAGAGGATGCATTTATCCTCGTAGTGTTGTCCTTAGCAAGCAACACACACTCAATATAGAACAAGGAGGCCAACTTTACAGCATCCATCTGATCACGACGTTAGGAAAGTTTCAGTTTCTCAAATTTGTTCTTCAAATTGACGTGTGTAATGTCGACTGAGCCACCTAAATACTTCTTAGCAATAGCCCCTACTGGTTCAGCTTCATCGCCAGATTCTTGTCCTGAAACATCACCTGCAGCAGCTACTGGTTCAGCACCCGCTGGTAATCCACTTATGCGGCAAAAATCCACATAAGTAAACTTATACAGTGTACCCCCAATGGCAAACCACAGCTCCTCATCAGGTTGCTCCTGCACAAGGTGTAAGGCCAGCATGTGAAAGACTTGGCCAGAGAATTGTGTGGGTGGGATGTCAATAAGATGGCCCCATGGTAAAGCGCGAAAAATTTCTATTTCTGTGGCAGATAAGCTGCTTTGTACCCATTTGGCAGCATTTCTAAAGTTTGAACACACCGAATACTGGGCAGGGAAGTAGTCATGACTGGGAATGCGTAACTTCAGGGCTCTGGCAGTTGGAAGAACAATAAATTATTAGGGCAGAGAGACAAAAGGTGACGTTCATAGACCTAAAGTATATTCACAGACAATAAATAACACTCCACAGGAACTTTACACCACCACACAGACAATTTATAAACATCAGCAAAGGAATTACACTATGTCATAGACATAATTTCATTCACAAGCAATAAATAACAAAAAAATGAAGTTAACACCACCACACAGACAACTTGCGCACATCAACAAAGGATTTACACTATATCATAGACAAAATTTTAAACCAGTCCACAGACAAATGTTCGAAGATTGCAAAAAACCCAACAAATTAAATAATAAACCTAAAAACAAACAAAGGTTGGGAAATGATACATACCTCTCGGCCATCTCTGCCAGTGGGGTTCGCACCATTGTTGTGCGTCGTGGTCCAACCTCAGTCCGCAGTGTAAGTGGGGGTGCCGGTTTCATGGGGATGTGGGAGAGAAGGAAGGGGATGTCGCCGCAGGTTTGATTTTTGAGAAGGAGGAAGTTGCTCGTTGATTTTCGAGAAGGAGGAAGTCCGCAGCGAGGAGGCGGCTCGTTGATTTTCGCCGTTGTAAGGAAGAAGAGAGAAGCGTGGGCCGGGTGGGGGACTTTTGATTTTCGAGGAGCGGGGGAGCGAGTGAGAAGCGTGGGCCGGGTGGGGGAGTGAGGGGAAAAGATGTAGAAATCCAGATTTGTTTCCAAGTTTATTTTCGTAGCCTTTTTGGTGGGATTCTTTCATTATTTAGATTTAGAATATACCTTCTCAATTATTCTGGAGATCCATTCCATATTAGGACTCCTTCTGTAATCAATATAAATATCAACTTTGATGAATGAATAAATACTTCTTTCTCTGGCCAATTTCAACATGGTACCAGAGCGGTTTTCGACCTTGGGAAACGAATAGAGTTATCACCACAAATTTTACCTAACCACCATGGTTGGAGACGACTCAGCAAAATCGCTAGAAGTGATGAGTTCGTCCACCGATCATAATTCTCCTTATTATCTTCACCCCTCAGACTATCCTCGGCAGATGCACGTCAATGATGCTCTGACCGATGGAAATTATTCAGATTGGGCACAAGAGATGAAAATTTTTCTCTTTGCCAAAAACAAAGTTGGCTTCATCGATGGGACCATCAAGATGCTAGAAGAAGGTTCTAAAGACGTCACGGCGTGGAAGAGATGTGATGCTATGATCAAGGGTTGGCTTACTACGGCCATGGAAAAGGAGATTAGAGATAGCGTGAGGTACGCTAATTCCGCGACAGAGATTTGGAAAGATCTAAAGGAGCGCTTTGGCGAGGAGAGTGCGCCACGCGCCTACGAGTTGAAACAGGCAATCACAAATACTCACCAAGATGGATCCTCTGTCTCGGCTTATTACACCAAATTGAGGGGTATTTGGGATGAGATGAGCTCAGTTTCACCCATACCAAAGTGCACATGTGCCGGTTGCACTTGCGGAATTGGCAAGAAACTGGTTGATACAAAGGAAAGGGAACGGATGTACGAGTTCTTGATGGGACTCGATAGCGATTTTGGAACAATAAGAAGCCAAATTCTGGCTACGAGACCGCCACCAAGCCTGGGCACCGCCTATCATATGGTTGCACAAGATGAAAAACAGAGATCAATTTCAACGGGTAAAAGGCCAGTCACAGAAGCGGCAGCCTTCCAAGCACACACTGAGAATCGCCGAGCACATAAAGAAGCTACGAACACTCGAGGACAACAAGTGGGCCGTGGATCTGGAAAAGAGAGAACTGGAGACAATGAGAAACAAGAGTTGTGCACACAATGTGGGAAACTTGGGCATGTTTACAGTGGGTGTTTCAAGAGAATAGGATATCCAGATTGGTGGCCCGGAAAACAAAAACAACAGAATGGAGAAAAAGGGAATCGCCCAACACCTGGGAAATTCAACCCAAAGGCACCACAAGTTAACCAAGAACCGAGCCCAATACCAGGACTATCATCTGAGCAATTCTCAAGGCTCATCAAGCACTACTCTGAAGAAAACAGTGACTCACACGAAGCAAGTCTTCCTTCAGTAAACATGGCCGGTAAGATATACTCTAATGGATCATGGGTTATTGACACAGGCGCGACGTATCACATCACATATGATGATAACATGTTGCAAGAAATAAAGAAACATGGGCATATGCCAGTATCAATACCCAACGGAGACACCATTCCGGTAGAAGGAATCGGGACATCCACACTACCGAATGGGTTAAAAGTCAACAATGTGTTATTCATTCCACAATTTAAATGCAGCCTGCTCTCGGTTAGCCGTATGACAAAGGATTTGAATTGTTCCATGACCTTCTTCTCGGATTTTTGTGTTTTGCAGGATTTACGCTCGAGGACGTTGATTGGCGTGGGTAAGTGCAGAGATGGTCTATATTATTTGGAGCAAACAATGGATGCAAAAGTAAGAATGGCGGCTTCAATCAAGACGGAGTTATGGCACAAGAGACTCGGGCATGCTCCGGGATCTAAGCTTAGAGGAGTTATTTTTTGGGTAATTCTGTTAGTTTAAATGATAAACATTGTGACTCTTGTATAAGGGCAAAACAAACAAGACCTCCTTTTTGTGAGAGTTTTATCAAAACAAATGATTGCTTTGACTTATTGCATTGTGATATATGGGGTCCATATCGTGTTCCTTCGTTTGATGGAGCACAATATTTCTTGTCGGTTGTGGATGACTTTAGCCGAGGAGTTTGGGTTTACTTGATCAAGCATAAATCTGATGCTAGTAACCGTTTGATAACCTTATGCAATATGATCAAAACTCAATTTGAAAAGAATGTTAAAAGAATCAGAAGTGATAATGGTGGGGAGTTTGGGTCTAGTCATATGCAGCAGTTTTATGCTGATCGTGGTATAATCTTTTAGTGTACTTGTACTTACACCCCTCAGCAGAATGGGGTTGTGGAGAGAAAACATAGATACATCCTTGAGATGGCCAGAGCCTTACGTTTTGAGGCTAACTTACCGGTGGAGTTTTGGGGGGAATGTGTTCTAACCGCCACCTATATAATAAATAGGCTTCCATCACGGGTCATTAATAATAAAACCCCCTATGAAGTATTATTTGGAAAATTGCCTGCATATGATCACATGCGTGTCTTTGGGTGCTTAGTCTATGTCAAAGACAACAAAACGGGGGGAGACAAGTTCAAAGCAAGGGGGAGACCTTGTGTTTTCGTGGGATACCCACAAGGT